CGCTCTTCCAGTCTTTGCAAGTTTTCTTTTCCCCATCGTCTTTTTTTTTTTTTTTTTTTTTTTTCTCTTTTTGCGTTCAGTAGTGACTGTAATCAACATTCAGTGGCTTGCAGTGTCCCCAAAGACTCACCTACATTCAAAATAACTTATTTCTGAAATCTAAAGTTCAGATTGAGGTGTAGCTTGGTTTTTGTGTATCTGCATGCCTGTCTGTGTTCAGGTTACACATTTACATCCTCACATCCTTCACATTATCCCCAAAACATGTTAATTGGTAACTAAATTCAACCCTGTATGCACATTCACAATTTACTAATGGAATGTGCATGTGTGTGTGTTTTTTTAAGTTAAACCTGTAATGGACAGCCTTGTCCATCTGTCCGCTTGAATTCTTGTCCCATGAAAGCTAGAAAATACTCCATGCTTTATATATTGATTTGATGCTGAAGCATATGTTTGGCTCATAAGACTTTAGTTATTTTTAATAGATGGGGGTACAAAGCTTTGGGGCCTTTTTCATTTTTGTCATTTTAAAAGAGTGCAGTATATTTAGGCAAATCCATATTTTTATTTGTATTTTTTTTTTATAAAGAACAGTATTGTCATTATTCACTAAAGTAAATTTACTTTGCATGTTAGTAATATGTTAATCTTACTTTTCACATAAAACAACGCTCATCTTTACTTTTAAACGTGTTTTCAAAGCCCATCTCATCAGGATGCTCAGGAATATGTTTAAAAGTCAAGTCTCTACGGTGTTCACAAATGCAATAGATGGTAATGTGATAAAGCTAAAATTTACTTTTGAATGCCACAAACAAGTAGGATTATTGTTGATTTATTGTAACATAAAACATTTGAATTTAGCTGTGCTTTAATTGTAGTACTCGCACCATTTTCGTAGCTACAAAAAGACAGAACAACAGTATTTTTAAGACCACAAATATAAACAAAAGGCTATTAAAGTTGAGTTTTATTTTTTACTTGTTGAAATTCCTAAAGGTTTAAAAAAAGAAAAAGATCTGTATCATCCGGTTGGCAGTGGGCATAAAAAGCTTGATTGGTGCATCTCAGTTTTAAAATGCCCATGTCTTTATGTTATTGGTTAAATATGTGTCGGTCATCCCAAATTTGACTTTTCTTTTGTGTGTCGCGTGTGAGGAGGAGACATTGAGGTATTACAGTTTTGCTGCAGCACTATTGAAAATACCTCAAATCACCAGAAGTGTATCTTTTCAGCAAGTTAATGTCAGTGTTTGTTTCAAGTCAGGGTACACGGTTTCGGATAATCCAGAGAAGATGCGAGTGTGAGCTTTGGTGTTACATCTAGGATACTGTTTTCCAAAATCCCAACCTGTGGACGCAATTGAATGCAGAATTATGTCGGGAGAAAACTAACTCGTGGATCTGTGATCATGAAGGAATTTTGTTGTCTGATTTGTGCAGCAGTGCTTCTTGTTTCGTGTTGTCCACATGACGGTTCCTACCTCCACTATTAAATGGCAGTGATTGTTAAATGATCCGAGGCTTTGGCAGGTTGAAGTTAATCT